CCATTCTCTCCACACCAATACACTACTCCACCTTATCCATCTTACAATCCTTATGACATGAACTACTCATTTATGACTCAACAACCTATGTCATATATGAATATGCTTAACAGTGGCCACCCAATTATCCATACTTCACCCGGAACCTATTCCAGTGAGGCTCATTCTTTAAAGAGACCACTTTTAATTGATCTAGAAGATGAGGCTACCTCACCATGCAAACGCAAGAAGAAGGCAAATGCGAAGAGAAAAATGCAACCAAAAGTCTTGAATCAAAAAGAGAATACAAGGGGTGTGCCTAATGCTAAATGGACTTCGGAGACTGATGATGTGTTAATCCCCTTTCTTGCTCAAATGGCGAAGGATGGTCTCAAAGTTGACAAAAATTTTAAGGTGCTTGCATATCGAAGAGCAGCAGAAGAGGTCAACAAGAAGTGTGGCACTGAATTCACGAAGGAGCAAGTCATGAATCATGTCAAGTGCTTGAAGGGTAAATATTTTGATATGCGCACTATCATGAATATGAGTGGGGCTAGTTATGATCCAGAAACTAAGATAGTCACCATGGATCCAGATTGTTTTGATAGGTGGACACAAGTAATATTTATCCTAATTAAAAAAACCAAAAATCCTATTATATTACTATACTGATTATATAATATTTTATTATACAGGACAAAAAATGCAATAGCTCTAGGTTGAAGGAGTATCTGAACACTCCTCTCATTCACTATGATAACTTGTGTTGCATCACGGGAGATGACCAAGAAAAGGGTGATCTCACCAAAGATATGACTGAAAAGCTAGGCTCTAAACAACATGTTTTAGCTGACGAGGAGCATGTCAATCTTAGTGATGATGAGGTTGATGTGTCCTTTAGCTCACATATTGACTTCAACAACTCTCAAACCCAAAATATGAAAAACTCTAGTGGGGTAGCTTGTACTTCAAGTGGTACATCACATCATAAGAAGAAAAATAGCAAGGCTAAAGAGGATGAGTCTCTCACGCGCGATTTCATAGAGTCCATGTCATACTCAATTCAACATCAACACATTATACATTGGAGTGAGACAATGATAAAGGCTCTAATGGCGCATTCCAATGAGTTTCCCAAGGACACATTGGATAATGTGCTTGATTACTTGTATGATCATGAATCCGAATCAAGGAGATTGATCATCAAAACAAAAAATTCTCAAAAGCTATTCATAGAGAAGATTATCAATGAGCAAGGATTCTAGGAGGTCACATTTTGGGTTTGTCTTTTGAAATACTTCATATTTCACTACTCTTGCAAACTTGACATAATACACAGTTTGTTTTGTAAGCTCATTGCATATTCCACTAATTTGTGATGTAATTTGAACACTTATGGATCCATCTCTAATTATGTATGTTGAACATGTATTGATGTAACTTTGGACTTGGTAGCTCACTACTTTTGTTAGATGGAGGTCTAAGCTTTGTTGAACATGTATTGATGTAACTTTGGACTTGGTAGCTCACTACTTTTGTTAGATGGAGGTCTAAGCTTTGTTGCTGGAATTGTTTTGGACTTGGTAGCTCACTACTTTTGTTAGATGGAGGTCTAAGCTTTGTTGCTGGAATTGTTTGGGTTTACTTGTTGACTTGTTCTTGATGGCTTGTGCTTTAAACTTGGTTGCTTGTGATTTTGTTGTTGGAGGTTTGTGATTTTGTTGTTGGTGGTCTGGGTTACTGGGTTTGTTGCTTTTGATTTGGCTACATTACCACTTTATTCTTCTACATCATTATTCTATGAGCCTTGGTATGCTTGCTTGTTGTTGCTGGTGACTTTATTCTCCTACAAAGTGCCTAGCTGTTGATGGGAGTTGCAGTCTATTTTTTTGTTTTGATGTTATTCTCCTACATCATTTGTTGCTGGACGTGGTTGTACTTGTGACTTTGACTGAGCTACTATGTATATGAGACCATGCTTTGGGTTAGCTTATGTTTCATTTTCTGAGCCTCTATATTATTATTTTTATTTACATTGTCTCGAGTAGTTTGTGATCATTTATAACCATTTATACTATAAATTTGAATGGGTATGATTACCCCCATTGTTTACAATTGTATTTGTTTTTTATGGGGGGTAAGCTCACCAAAAATTCTTATATTCACCAATCATTATTTTGGTGATCCTAAATTTCATTTGCTACAACTCTAGATTTCAAATTCTAAAATTTGTAATGCTACAATTTAAGTTTGAAACAAACAAAACATTATAAGTTTTGGTATTACATATCCTAAAATTTTGGTGAAACAAACAACATTTTAGAGATCCCAAAACCCACCAAAAAATTTATGGATTTCAAATTCTATGTTGAAATCCATATCCATAAATTTTGGGATTTCAAACAAACACCCCCTTAATCTTTTACTAGTATGTGATACATGCTTTGCAAGTAATGCATATTAAATAGCAATATGAGACTAAATATTTGAGGGTAGTTTATTAAGATTCATATGCTAATCTAATCCGATTTTATGCCAATAAAAAACTATTAACAAGTTATCCTAGCAAGTATGAAATACAACAAGATATATGAGCTAGGATAAGCAATATGAACAAATAGATATATCCTAGCAAAGAGGTATATGGTGAATTATATGCAAGGATATATAAACTAATACAATGGTGAAAAAAATAATCTACAAATATGATAGGGCAATATGAAGAGTAATACACAAAGGCGATATAAGATATGAATACATGATAGGGCAATATGAAGAGTAATACACAAAGGCGATATAAGATATGAATACAAGAATAAGTACGCCAATACAATCACAAACAAAAGATATCAAAGGCGATATAAGATATGAATACAAGAATAAGTACGCCAATACAATCACAAACAAAAGATATGATCACGGAGTTCGGTCCCTATGACCTACGTCTCCGCTCCTCACCTAGAGGAGATCTCCACTATCACAACAGGTTTTCTACGCTCACCCGAATAACGTTTACACCTCACAATATCAGTTTTCAACGCTCACCGATCAACGTTCACAATCTCACAATGTAACTACACTAACTACCACCTTAAGTGTTGGTCTTTAGCCCGTGTCACCCTCAAGTATTAGGAATTACAACCTCTCTCTAGGTATTACCACCTACCCCACTCCTCTTGTGATGACCCCCCGTCTCTCACCACACACTCCTCTTGGTGTACTAGTGTAATACAAAGTGAACTTCACAATTAGGCGCTCTAATACACTTAACACCCTCTAAGTGTTAGCCTAGCCCGTGTCACCTTCCTCAAGTGTTCGAAATTACCACCTCTTACTAGGCTTTACTACCGACCCCACTCCTCTTGGAACCGACCCCGTCTCTCACTAACCACTTCTCTCGGTGTCTAAGTATAATACAAAGTACAACTCACAATTAGGCTCACAAATCAAATGATTGTTCTCTAAACAAGATGAGAACTCAATTAAGTGCAACTCAAGGTTACAATCTCTCACAACCCCAATTATACTATATATAAAATACAATAAACTCAAGTGGGTGTGTGTAACAATGAGATTCAATAAAACAAAATCAAACTAAAGTTAATTATAAAAATCTAGCTTATAGAGATGATAATCAATAAACAATGTAAATACAAAGCTAGAAATTAAGTTTAGAAAACTTCTCTATAGATAACAAGAGAGAGGGAGAAGAGTGATGATCTCCACTTGCTCTTGTGAAATTATCTTCACAAACAAAACTCTTAAACCACACTTAAACCCTTAAACAAAACTTGTAAACTCTTTATAAAACTTTTCTCTTGTTAGGTGAGAGAGGTAAATGCAATGGGGTATTTATAACAATCCAAGACATCAGCCAAAACCCCAAGGAAATGACCAAAAACTCACACAAAAACAGAATCTGGAAATAGCTGTTACTGTGTAATGGTCATATTTATAAGTCGACTTGCATTCGACTTAGTATAAGTCGACTTGTATTCGACTTACAATAAGTCGACTTGAAAGTTCACATAAGTCGACTTGCAGAAGAAAATTAACATTCAAAACTCAGGTCATAAGTCGACTTGAATAATTCATAAGTCGACTTAGACTAAGTCGACTTAACAGTTCGTATAAGTCGATTTGACAGAAAGATTTTGCACATTCCAGAGCAGTTCATAAGTCGACTTGTCAGGGTTTATAAGTCGACTTATAAACATGCACATGCACTGTTCATGCCGAAAATCTGATTTTAAAAGTACCTTTAAAAATAGTAAATAAATTCAGAAAAATATAAAACTTTGAAAATGATTGTAAACATGATAATACACATGTTACAAAAAGCACCTCCCAAATGAGAAATCTCTTCATTTTGCAAAATAGTCCAAAACATGTAAATAAAAAACACTTGTTTTTGACATTGGACATAAACCAACTTTTGAAACTTTGTGAAATATTTTTATAGACTTGATAAACTATGTATAAACTGATATTGAAGTCTATAAACTAATAAAATAATGTTTTCACAAAAACACCTGTATTTTGATAAAATCAACAAATACGTGTGTGTGATTAATATGAGCTTAAAGTATTAACACACAAGTATAAACCTATACTACAAACACTATAAACTATATACCCAAGCTATGATCTTGATC